TATGTGTGTATATATATATATATATATATATATATATGTGTATGTGTGTGTGTGTATAATATATATTATAAATATAAATCTTTTTGCCAAAGGTCATAAGATGGTAGACAGTAATTAAAATAACATTTTAATAACTAAAAATATATTTTTATTTATTATTCTTTACAAATAATTGTACACATTTAATTTGTTTAAAAAGTCACTTTAGTTAAAAGCATCTTCTAAATGCATACATGTAATAATAGCTATCAAGTAAAAATGAAATATGTATTTATAATGTATAATATAAATATAAATATTTCCTTCATTTGCCAAAGGTAATTAGATGGTAGACGGCAATAAAAACATGTATTTTATTTTAATAAATACTTATTTTAATAAATACTTAAAAAATTATTTTGATTTTGTCTTTTAAAATAAATCCGTTTGTAAGTCGCTTTTGATAAAAGTGCCTGCTAAATACATAAATGCAAATTCATATGAAATAACTATCCAATAAAATTTCAATATGTGTTTATAATATATATTATAAATATTTCCTCCATTTGCCAAAAGTCATTAGACAGTAGACGGTAATATAAAATAATAGTTCTAATTAGTGAAAATAATATACTTATTTTGTATTTTCAATTAAATTACTTTGGATAACAACATTTGTTAAATGCATAAATGTAAATAAATATAAAATAATAAGTATCAAATACAAATAAATATGTATTTATATTATACATCATAAATATTTCTGCTGTATGCAAAAGGTCATTAGACAGTAGTTTAGTGCAATGCTAGTGAAATGCTTATTTTTGGGGTCAAAAGTTTCTGCTAAATAACAAGACATCTTGTTTTTATATCTATGCAATGAATAACGTAGTGCCATTTTATTTTATCAGAATTCGTTTTACATATGATTCAAATCACTTTTTTTATAGCCTGGGCTATAATAGAATTTAGCATTCTCTTATTTATTATTCCCTTGCCTTTAAATCTCTTAATTGATCAGGTATTATGGGTCTGTGTTGCATTTCAGCTCGTGTATATGTTGTTAAAATAGCGCACAAACAGCAGAGCCTCGAGTTTCTTTTCTCAGCGCTGATCAGGAAGACCAATCGCAGTCGTTTGTGATTTCTGGACAATCAATTCATCAATCACACAGTTAAAAGCTAGTGCCATTGTTCTTTCTGTCGCCACTAGACTTGAACACTGAGTAAAACTTCAACTTCAACATCAATAGTAGGCGGTCAGTGGATTATTAACCAAAAAAAAAAAAAACCCCTGGGTTAATTACATGCGACTGAACTAAATATAATCACCAATCCATCACACATATTTGCTGAGAAAATCCCAGGAAATGAATAATTGTACAAGACGAAGAAGTCACTGACTAGACAAAACGCGTCTTTAGAAGTCAAGTCACATTTATTATTAATAAACAGCAGCATAACAGTATTAATGTCTTAAATTATGAAACAAATTCCGTTTCAGCAGCTCCACAGAAGACAACAGTGTCATCATTCAATTTAGTTTTATTCTGTTCAAATCGATGATATTACTAAATATGCAGTGCATTTTAATCCTTTTTCATAAGTGCATGTTAGTTTTACTCCCAGTCATAGAACATCAGTCCGCAGTGGTTCGTTCGGTCAGCCTGATCTAAATGTAGGATCGTTCGCACAGGTCGTGTTTTTGTGTTTTCTGTGGTCTTGTGGTTCATGTACACATGGAGACTGACGTTTGTGGCCTTTGTCTCGCTGTTTTTCTGTGACAAGTTCAAAATAGTTTGCATTGAATAATTTACTCTCTCTCTCTCTCTCTCTCTCTTTTATTTTATTCTGTTCTTTTGGATTATGTCACTCTTTTTCAGTTTCTAAAGGAATTTAGGGTGTTGCATTTCCTAGAAATGACATGTTGTGTGTTCCGTTTAGTCAGGTGGAGACGGGCGGGTTTATAATGTTGTGCGATGTGGTTTAACCAACTATACCGGTATTTCCAGCTGTTATTAAAAACTGCTATTGTGTGAAATCATGACGTTGGAAACTTACGCAGACGCTTCACTGTGACTGTATTAGGCTACTCACTGATGAGTCTTTACTGTTCAGGCTGTTTATTTAATAAACAATATTTGATTTGTTCATGCATGGTGATGGTTGGCTATACTACTGCGTTTCAAAGTGTTTCTGATTATACACATTTCAACTACCAATTCAATTTGCTCTTTTATTGTAAGATTATTTAAGTTTTCAATAATAAACGGGCGTCCGCTCAGACTGAAGATGGCATTTGATTTTTGTTCAACTGCATTTTTTTCTTGAATCGAATTCCTTGTTCATTTACAAGAAGAATGTGAGATGTTTCTGGCGATTCGTCGGACTGATTGACCGGTATTTCGATAAGCAAAACCAAACATGCTAATTTGCACGTGGTTTCATTTTCTTCTTCTTTTCTTTCTAAAGGTGCGACTTTAAATGCTGTTTGCACACTATTTGTCAGTGAACCGTAAAAGCTTTAACGCACACAAAACATGTTTCTGCGTTCTTGCAAACAGAACGTTTGTGAAAGAATGAATGTCCGACACACGGAAGTTCCAGAACCTCTTGTTCATGTCAAATATGTCTGTAAATACCTGTATATTTCAAAGGAATAAGCATTTATGAACATTTCAGTTTCCTTTACGTGAAGCCTTAATTGTGCACTTTCACGTCTTCAGTGTCTTAGAGGCCAATGATTTTGAATGCAAAAAAAGTATATATATATATTGCACAATTATCAGGCATGTTCCGGGAATTTTCTGACCCAATTAAGAGACAAGTCAGTAAAATAAGTTGTTGTTAACTGTCATTTTAGACCGGGTCAGTCACATTTTTTAAATTATTGTTGTGCAGTTAAACCCAGAAACCGAGCGCAATAGTAACTCTTCAGTTCAGCCATAAACAATTTTGACCGATCACACATTCAGCTCTGCCTAGAAAAAGTGTGATAAAGTTTTAAACAAAGATGTTTTTATTAGTATTATTCCAATTGACATTTATAGAGACATTGAAGCGTTTTCATGTCCAATATTTGGTTACACTTTACTTGAATCCTTTGCGTATAATGCATTATTAAGGGATTCATAACGTGCGTTATTATGCATTATATCTTCATATAAACAATTACAATTATAACTTTTGCAGATTCCTTGTTACATCCGAAATGGGTTGTTTAGATATGTATTATAATGTATTATCACTAGTTTATTCATGAGGTCATGCAATGCATTGAGAACGCATAATTAATGCATTAAAAATACTTGTATAATGCATTATATACAGCGCTGGGTAGTAACTGATTACATATAATCTGGATTTTATTGATTACATGATTACATATTCACACAAGCGTTTGTCTTTGGAAGGTTTTTGTCTTTCAAACATTAAAATGCACAAATTCACGTAATTTCCTATTTACATGTAGGGATTCCCTTTTATTTATTTACTTACTATTACATACAGTAGGCTATATATATATATATTTTTTTTTCTTCTTCTTTTTTCTCTTCACAGTTCATGAAGGTAAACATCACTAACCCCCTTTAGTTCCTTTAGAATTCTTGCCATAATGTAATGTTTCATGGACTTCATGTTGCTAATAACAATGAATGGAATATATTTTCATTCTCTTTGTATTGTGTACTTTTATATCAATATGGTGTTTATTTAAAATATATCAATATCATCCTATTTAAATCAATGTGATAAACGGGTTAGGTCACAATTAATCTTAAAGTAATCAAAAAGTAGTCTGATTATATTATATGGAATCTGTAATGTAATGGATTACGATACTAACTACAATTTCCGTCATGCGACTAATCTACCCAGCACTGATTATATATAAGTAAATAATTACACAATATATTTCTTCTGCTGTCAGATTTTTTATGCTTTTTGAATATCACTTAATGAAAGTGTTCAGTAAAAACTACTGTATACTGAAAATATAGTAAAAAGAATTAGCTACACAAGTGCAGGTGAAGAGGAAGAAGGTGAATTTTACAGAGGTGTGTCTCGAGGTTTCGTCGCTTTAATCCGAGCTTTACCATCACTATTCAGAGTATGTTCCATCAATGCTGTGTCAGGAAACGTCGTAATGTAAATCATGCATGAAGTGAATGAGGCATGAAGCAGCCGGCGAAACCCATCTGTAGTTTCCAGAATGACGCATATGTGCATATTCCAGAAATACCTTACATGTGACCCTGGACCACAAAACCAGTCATAAGGGTCAATTTTTTTTTATTGAGATTTATGCATTATCTGAAAGCTGAATAAATAAGCTTTCCATTGATATATGTCCCCCAGCGACTTAAGACCGCTTTTGTGCTGCAGGGTCACATGTGAGATGGAGGAAGATTTAGTGACGGAGGCAGCTTCAGAATTCAGTTTGTCTCAGTGGAAGTATGAATTATTAATTAGCGGTGTTTGCATTATTTCGTGTCG